AAAAAAATTTTTTTACTTGTGTTACCCGGACAGTACTTCTAAATATTCGGTTTCAGTAAACACAGTTTATTAGAGATATTCGGTTTTACCTATAGTAAACCAGGTTTTTCGTTAACTGGAGTTTGATGCAGATCATTTGTTTGATCATAGTTTATCAATACTTACCACTGAGTATTACTGGAATGAGATAAGCCATTATTGGCAAATATAGCTGCTTGATAGCAAATAATGCTGTCAGAAATTATTCTTTCAAAGCAAGGGAACAGTACGGTAGTCGATGAAAAGCTCAATGTTCAGCTCTCAAATGTCTATTAATGACAGCGGGTGCAAAAGTGAACGTAAGCAGCCTTTTTATCTGCTTATAGGTGGCCATTAGACGAAGGGGCGGTCCTAGTAAATCGCCTAAGAGGGGTAATCAAACACTTCAGAAGCCAGCCATGGACGGGAATTACAAATTTGTGCTGAGGGGATTATACTTTGAATAGAAAGCGTGGGATCGGTACCTTCCGGTAACTGTCATAGCACCGAATGTGTTTAAGTGATTGTACAAAGTCTGTAACAGTTTCTCGTGCATGCTAGCAATGCACAGTTCTCGAAATTGCTATTATTCCCGATTTGTTGTGAGGTTACTTATATTCAAAAGTGGTGAACTGGCAAGATGGGAACACTATCCACATACAAACGTAGTCTGGTGGTTGAATCTGCGATCAGTATCCGCTTAGAACAACTAAGCTTTTATCCTACTGGGAGCAGACTACTGTATAGACAACTAAGATTCAAAATTCCCTACGATTCCGACTGAAAGTCGAATGCAAGGCGCATCTTTAAACCAATGTCGAAGAGACTTCATTTTTTTNTTTTTTTCATTTATTCCTTCCATTTTGTTAGAGAATTTCATTATTAGTAACCTTTCATCGATTATTTTTGTTGTATTCCTTATCCATGCAAAGAAGTGTTCCCATAATAGAGCGGTATTCCAATGGGAACAGGTGGTCAGATTGTATGCAGGGTCCAATCATCAGCATAAGAAACATTTTGGGATCAGTTGGTTGGCAATAGATTTGAATAAAAGGATAATTACAACTTTTCAATACCCGTTGGCCCTTAACAATCATTGAGTAGCCCAGTATTGGATTCAAATCCTCATCCCCATCCTCCATAACGAAACCGGAACGCATGGCGCATCCTGCCAAGTAGCGGCAAGGCAAGCTTGTAGGCTCTCCGGACATCACTTTTCAGTGAGCAAAAAACAAAGGAATGTTGACGCAAAATGTAATCTTGGGAGCTTTCATGGTAGAGAACTTGCCCTTTAAGACAACAATCGTTGGGAGGCTACGAAACGGAAAATCGCAAAGAACTGCTTTTTTTGTTGGGCATTGGGGAGGTCCACTGCACGCTACTAGGAAAAAAATGTGCGTATTGCCATGGAAAATGACGGCGTGGAGGCAAAGAGTCACGAGGGAGCTGCACATTTACTCGTTCTATGTACCCGAGTAGAATATTTAATAGCAGCAAAGGTAAACGGGGATAGGAAGAGGAGGGGAAGGACGAGGGTGGGAGTAGGGGTGTAATATAATGAATTTCCCGAGAAGACCATTCACTCAAATGAGCTGAGGCGCATCATATGGGTATCGAAGGGGGATTAGCTTCACTATATGGTTCGACATCGTGGCCATTACGAAGAAGTCAGAAAACTTTGTTTTGCATTTCGAAAGGAAGGCTTATAGAAAAGTGACCGAATGCCATTATGTCAACTACTATTCCTTGTCATCCTGTGTTCCAGGAAATTCAAGTAAACATATTTTTAGAATAAGGTAAGAGAAGGAAGTCACGGCAAATTTGCAAAGCCAGGTGTAAAATAACGAGCTCTGTCTAATTGTTATCTACGAGGAGGAAGTGGGGTATAGTGCAAAGTGACGTGCTGGCTACTTCAGGATTTAGAAATTCTGAAGTGGAGGTAGAACCTGGAAGGAGGTTCATTGTGCAGGGCAGGACACTCTCACGGGCAAAATTACATAGACGGTCGAATCCAGGATTACTACTCGCTCAGATCAACTGAACCATTCGCAAATCCTCCGGGATCGGCAAGTTTGTTGCAGACTAGTTTAAGAGGATATCAGCACTGACTTGAACATTGGGTGGACATCCCAAGTCATTGTATAGGCGATACACGCATTCAAATGCCCCTACCATTCTAAAAGGTAGTTGAAGGCGGGACGCATCCAAATACGGGATTGAACAGCGCCGAGAAAACTTGGAAACAACTTTGTCTTACTTACTGACTGCACAATTTCTATTCTTGAAAATAATAAATGATCCTAAGAATATCTGGGAACTAGAGTCGAATATAAATGAATGAATTGGTGTCTTAACCCCAATCCAGGTGAACTCTATCGCCTACATACCAATACTGAATTACGACGAGGCTACTGTAAGCCACCCCATTCAACAGCTACAAAGCCTAAATTTTGAATGAATGATTGGCTTAGCAAACTGTAAGCAAACTTTCCCATCTTTTTTTTTTTTACCAAGATACAAAAAATTTGATGGGAATCAAGTACGAATTTCTTTTTTATTAGAAATTCCCATATTTCCACTTGCTAGTACAACTGTAGTCCTGATGAAGTCAAATGACTTCCTACCTCTCACGAAAAATAGGCAGGTGAAATATTTTGAGTCATATCTGGGTCTGAAGAAAGCACCTGCGAGAAGACCTGCAGCAATGCATGCGTTTTTCTTAGGAAAACTCCCGAAACGAGTAAGTTTCTCAGTCTGGGAATAGGTCTGAGTTCATTAGTTTCTACAAAGACCAAATACCCATGGTTGAAGGGATACTCTCACGGATGGATTATTCACAAGTGTCTTGTAAAAGTAAGAGATCAAAAACCCTCCTCTCCCTTGTGGATGATCGTGTGGGCAAGAAAGTGAAGGTTTTTCTTTTTTTTTTTGAAAATTTAAAGGGACTTCAGGTTAATTTGGATAGTTTCTTTCTTGGTGAATATTCCTGCTAACCAGTTTTTTATTTCTATGCTGTAACAGCTTTCGACAATTAATATCAATAATAAGTAATTGGGGCGAAGGTAGTGTAGCGGGAAGTAATGTACTACCACACACGCATGGCCACGAGTTCGAATCCTGGATCGACATCCGCCTAGGCCAACCAAGCCTTCCATCCCTCTGAGGTCGGTTAATTCGTATCAGACTCCTCTATCAGGATAAATGCACTGACTTATACATCGGTTGGCCACCGCAAGTCATTATGTAGGCCACATACGCACTCAATAGGCCACTAAGATTCCGAATTGAAGTCGAATGTCGAATGTACCAAACCCGGATAAATTAACTTTAAATTCTTCAGATTTCAACATATAAAATTTCTGGCAAAGTAAGGCTCTGATTAATGTAGGCTGAAGTCAAGAGCATAACCAGCTTGAAGCTGTTCCCTTCAAACTCGAAAAGAACTCTAAAAAACTAGGCCTCTAGCAGGAGGATGAGCATATCTGGTACTTTCGGCCGGTACGCTTTTTTCAAGAGTTCACAATCAGATACATCTTCAACTTCCTGACAGAATCCTTGAAAAATAGTAATATTCAGAAGCCAATATGTAGCTGACATTCTCTAACGCAGATTTCCTTCATACGGAATTCACATTGAAGGAATGAGGAACAAAGCATTTACTTATTTCACTCAACAGATTCCTTTACAACAACTTAAACCAAGTAAAAAGTAGTTCTGTGGCCTGGCCGGATACCGAACTGCGACTTGGTCCGAGGCCATGGGGTGAAACCTTTCACTTTGTTTTTCACTTATTTCTGTTTTTCCTACCTTTTATTGTTGGTTTCTATTGCGTTATTTCTTTATACTCTTATCATCTCCTCTCTTTTCTACTTATCTATATGAATCTCTTTCTAATACAATATTCGCCTTTCTCTTTTAAATCAACCACTTCATTACAAACCGTACTAACGATTTCTTATATTTCTTTTAAGTTAAGTACTAATTTTTAATACTTAATCTTATTCTTAGTACCATTTTTAATTAACCACTAC